TATATATATATATATATATATATATATATATATAGTAGTATATAGTATATATATATATATATATATATATATATATATATATAGAATATATATATATGAATATATATATATATATATATATAGATATATATATATATATATATATTATATATATCAATATATATATTTTTGAATATATATATATTTATACATAGATAAATGCATATATATATATATATATATATATATATATATATATATATATATATATAGTATATATATATATATATATATATATATATATATATATATATATATATATATATATATATATATATATATATATATATATATACTACACACACACACACACATATATATATATATATATATACACATACATTGAATATGCGTTGATTCTAGCACTCATACATGTATCGAAGATGCAACGCGAGCATTGTTGGTCGGTGAAGTGTGTATGTGTTCCTAATTTTTCTAGGGCATATGGTCTGCTATATTTGCTGTCTACCAGTGGATACCTGCTAATCTGGCAGTGTCATTGTATTTCGATACTGTACTGTGTAGTATGTGGCGAGTTCTTTACCAATCCCATTAAGCCGTCATATCTCACTCAGCTAATGTATACCACACAACCACAACAATCCACACAACTCTATTGCGCACACTCAGGATGAGAAGTCTCTTAGTCTCCTGCGGAAAGCTGCCAAACGTGAGGCGCAAACAAACAACGAGGAATTGCAGAGCAAACTGGGGCAGCCCATACACTACGGGGATCAGGTAGGCTCTCACACTCAGTAGTGTACGTCTGTCTATTTCTAGCCTATGGGCGTGAGTTGACCTGTCAGTGTAGTGCTTCATTCGGAGCCTATCTACTGGTGCTTTGTATGACAGAGATGGGTATCATTGCTGCCACATCCCTGCTTCGCGTGTTGTGATTGGCGTCACCGTATGTGTGACCGTATTGGCATTCCACTGCAGTACGTTTTCCGAGTCTGCCTAGTATAGTGTTGTCTGCATGTGTTGTTGTGGTGTTAGTTGGTGTAGTTCATATGAGTTCATATGGGAAAGCCCTGCTATGGTACGTATGTTGTGTTCGGCGAGTGCATTGAGGTCAGAGGTACTGTGTCTTGGTAGCGACTTCTTTCTCACCGACTGCGTTTGGCGATTATATATTTTTGTTTCTCCGGGGCCGGCGCAATTGACATGTGCGTTGTTGGGCTTATTGCTTCAGTATCTACGTATGCATACAATGCAGAAGCTTTGCTTTGGGTGCGATACAGGGTACTCTAAGTAGAGTTCTGATGTTTCAACGTTCATGTAGCATGCTTCTTTGAATGCTCCTTTTGTGACAATCCTGGGCGTGAAGATGTACCTACACTGCCATCTCGTCAACGCAGCTATACTAGAACCCACGGTGTGATACATGCTGGGTGTACAGTTCTAACAGTACGCACCATTCAGTACATGATGGGTGTACAGTTATAATAGTACGCACCATTCAGTACATGCTGGGTGTACAGTTATAACAGTACACACCATTCAGTACATGCTGGTTGTACAGTTATAATGGTACGCACCATTCAGTACATGCTGGTTGTACAGTTATAATAGTACGCACCATTCAGTACATGCTGGGTGTACAGTTATAATAGTACACACCATTCAGTACATGCCCATTCAGTACATGCTGGTTGTACAGCTATATCAGTACACCATTCAGTACATGCTGGTTGTACAGTTATAGTGGTATAATAGTTCAGTACATGCTGGTTGTACAGTTATAATAATACGCACCATTCAGTACATGCTGGTTGTACAGCTAGAACAGTACACCATTCAGTACATGCTGGTTGTACAGTTATAATGGTATAATAGTTCAGTATATGCTGATTGTACAGTTATAATAGTACGCACCATTCAGTACATGCTGGGTGTACAGGTATAATAGTTCAGTACATGCTGGTTAGGTTAACTCACCCTACCTTGCACCGCTTATTTCCGCACAGGCGTATCTTATGCACGTTCGCAGTGGACGGTATCTGACCCACAACCGCAATCCGTCGGCGTTCAATCGGCTGCAGAAGTCTGTCTCGCTCATGGAGGAGTTTGGTGAAGACTCGATCTTCACCATACACAGCCGGCACAAGTTCCGTAACATCACCGACGTTATCTACTGCAAGGACGAGATCACGCTACTGACGCGGGAGGGGCTGTATGTTGGCGAGTCAAAGGACATGTGGGCCAACCGAGTGGACATGCTCGAAGTTCGGTCCATGCGATCGGCCACACATTGGAAGGTGGGTGTGGATGTGAGGGGTACTACACTAGCGTGAACACACACACACACGCATATATATATATATATATATATATTATACACAACATACACACACACACACACACACACACACACACACACACACACACACAC